GTGTTCATCCATAGATGAAAACTATTTGAACAGGCATGCTTCAGATTATATTTCCATTTTTAAATTTAAGTATCCTTTTCCTACCCTCTACTCTCTCATCCTCAGGTTATAAAACTCTCTTCCATCCTAATCTTAGCATTGGTTCCCTAGACTAGGGCCTACACATTTCTGGTCCCAACTTTCCTTTTAAGTCCATAGCATTGGTACCATCTACCTTCTCCACTCTCACACCTGCTTAGCTCAGCTGATTAAGCCCATATTTTATTTTCTTGGTCTTTTCCTTTCTGCTATCCTCCAGTTTATCAATAAACTCAGAGAGCAACAGGGCCTCGGTTGATTTGTTAGTAATTATGAGCACACTGTTCCTGCTCAAGGAACCCAGAGATGACTAAGATAGGTTTAAAGCGACAGCAGGAAATGGTAAGGAAATGGAGCATAGCAAAACTCAGCGTGAAGCTTTCAGTTCTTTACATGTTTACAATTTTCTGTGCATATATTAAAACTGGGTGTGTTTTTTTCTTCTTCAGTTCTCAGTTGGATAGTATGGCCAGCTTCTGGATATAACACCCACAACACTTGCTTCCCGCCTCTCTTTTCCTTGCATTAATTTGGGAGAGAAGAAAAAAGGTTTAAAAATCGATCAATATTTCAGTACAGTGACTGAAGTTTTAAGAAAGAGAAAGGAAAACTGATGACAGAAAGTATTATTCATTACTGAACAATATAGAGCCAAAGTGTTAATAGCCTAGCTCTTAATCTGTATTCTTTAAACTTAAGTGTGAAATTGCAGCTTTGAGATCTTTGTGTCTGACTAGAAACAGACCCTCTGTGAATCTGAGCTCCTGGTAGGGGAGAAGGGAAGAAATAGGTTCAAGGGTAAGTCCCTCTAAAAGGTACTGGGACTTAAATATGTAAACTATACCAGGAGTCCTCCATGACGCTGAACATTGCTTGAAATAATTACTTCTTACCAGCAGAGCACCACTTTCCTCATACTTGCAATGTTTCTAATCTACCTGAGGGCTAAATTTTATTCCACGTGTATATATAACAAGTGCATGAATATGAGTACTGAAATCCTGGAAAGAAAAATAAAAGGATTCCCACAAAGAAAGCTGGAACATAAAAAAAAACCAAAAAAACCCCAAAAACCTACAAATACCCACTGTTGGCATCCTTTAGGGTCAAAGTATAAGAGGCTGGAAAAGGTGAGTTGGGTCCCATCATTTACTTGACATGTGGGACCTTGAATAAGTCATTTATCTTTTGTCTGTCTGAGTTTCCACACTGGAGGTGGGGGTGTTGAAAAAGAGTGTCTAACCTTTCCAGCTTTGAAATCCTATGAACTCTGATTACTCTCTGGTGGCTGGAATGTATCTCGGAATTCCTAGTTGAATAAATACTTATTGGGATCCAAGTCAGCTCTGGAAAGGTGAACCTTTTCATTTGAGAGAAAACTCATACCCTATTAGAGGCTCTGACAGACTCTCGGTGCTTTTTACTTTTTAAGTCAGAAGGAAAAATCCCAACAGAACCCATTGTAATTAAATTGGCAAATTCTTTATTCCCCTCCACCCCAAAGAAAATCCACACCAATCAAAGTGTTTATGTGGGGAAGGGGCCAGAACTAACGGGGAAAAAAAGTGGGAGAGAACGGTGGTTGAACTGAAACTAACCAAATAGGATATCCCTAAGACCAATAAAAACGCTCCACAGTCACAACATCTGAACCTTGGACTCCAGCCACGCTAGCCTTTCCAAGAAATCCCAGCATTTTTTTCTTCTGCTGCTGCCTAAGGTGTCAAACCAATTGCACACTGGCCTCTGATTGCACCAAAAACTTTTTCTTAAGCCTAGGTGAGCCTTTTTAAAGTTAGGCTGTAGGATGTTGGCAGTGATCATTTATATTAGCTGGGCACCACCCTGCCCCCTCCCCCAACCCAGAGTCCCAATCTTAATGGAACTGAGAGTTAAGAATGATTTTTTAATGTCTCGTTGGATTTTTAGACTGTTAATGTACCGAATCCTTCTCATTATTACTTTATTGATTGCTCATTGACCAGCCCCCTTCAAATCGTATTAACCACCCTCTGCCAGTTTAGATTAGGAGGGTTTAAAAAGCACCTTTCATTACTCCCCCCACTCCTGCCATGGAGTTGAGACTCCGCAGCTTTAATGGGAGCTCTAATGGGGCAGCTAAGAGGAGAGGGGCCACGGTCCCTGCCGATTGCATTAATAGCTCAAAGGGGGCCAATACAGAAAATTAGCCGTAAACGAGCTCTGGAGATCTTCAAATGAAAGAGCCATTTATCACGCTGGCTACCTTCACTCCACTCGTTTGCTCTCTCTACTGGGAACAACTCATTTCCTCTTAACTAAATTACTTCAGAAATGTCAGCTAAGCCCAGATAGCAAACATAACAAGAGAGCTAGCCTATAATCTATGGGGTGATATCAATGTGGGTGAAAAAATCGGACTGGTTAAATTTTAGAAGGGGGTCTTTTCATAATGAGAGAGAGAGAGAGAGAGAGAGAGAGAGAGAGAGAGAGAGAGAGAGAGAGAGAGAGAGAGAGAGGAGATCCTTTATGCCTAAATCTTCTAGCTTCATAAACAGAGTCAGAGACTCCCAAACATGAACCAGTTGGGGCACGTTTATTAACGAGGTAGAATTTAAAAAATTTTAAATCTGTTTTTTAAAAAGTCCATTAGAAAATAAAGCAACTGAGTCCCCTGCCAGTTGAAATTTAGAATATTTAGTTCTGAAAACTTTCTCACCTCCTCTTTTATGAAATTAATCTCTTGGAGACATTCCTCATAAAGGGACAAAGATGGGAGACCAGAGAGCAGGGAAGGAGCTAATGAACCCATAACCTTATTTTAAGTGGTTCATAGTAATTTAGAAAAATAAATCAACCACTTATTCCTATTTTGCCCATGGCTCTCTAAAGATAAAACTATGACATTAGGATCTTTTCTTCATGTAACAAAGCAAATACCTGAAATATTAAATAATGGAGTTGACCCAACACATCATATTCATAACACAGTCCCTAAAACAAAGTGACTGTGGTGCCACTTAGATGTTTTAATTAATTAATTACAATTAATTAATAATTTAAAAAAGCTTTTGGGGCCATATAAAGTACTCTATGTTTCCAAAACACAACCAGCAACTATGTCAAGATTCTCCTTTTCTTATTCCTGGAGAAGGAATAAGGTATTCTGATACATAAGTATTCACATTCTGCTGAGAAACCTATACAAGCCCTGAAACGAACGCATCCCACATCTAAGAATATTTTCAGCTCTGTTTTGTTAGGTAAGCTAAGTTCCAAATGTTTTTATTGGCCTGGCCATCAATAACATTTCTGATTGGTCGTCTGTTGAGCGTGCCCCACTGCCAGCAGAAACACTGTTTCTAGGATATGGAACCCTGAGCTAAGGAGTTCTAGCTTCCCATGAAGAGGGAAGAGGAACTAAAACAAAGAAGAAACAAACAAACAAACAAACAAACAAACAAAAAGCCAATGGAAAAGTGCCTCTTGCCCCTTATCCCCCATCAACCAGCAATCAACCAAAACAGAAGACGCAAGAGGAAATGGTGCAAGTGAGCTGTCAGCACAGTTGAAATTTTAAGCACTGAAGACACCCTAGTAAACCCAAAAGCTAGCATTAAAAACCAAAAGGATTAAAGACCAAAAACCTAAAGATGAGAGGGACAGACGATTGAAGCAACACTTAAATAGTTTTGCCCCAAACCTTACTATTCTCCTTCAGGATATTCCATTCCAAAGCCAAATGGCATCATTTCAAGTACAGTTTCCCCTTCCCACCTCTTAAAGTCACTTTTTCTGCCTTTGTAAAAGAAGAACATTGAGAATACCTCACCCTTTTTGGAATCCTTGCTTCACAACCCTCCTACTATACCAACTTGACTCTGGATTACTTTCCAAAGCATCTTTTCATTGTTTTTGTGAATATTATGTGGCTCTAATGAATCATAAATGACTGAAGCCAGGGATTGTTGACACCAAATATAAGGACAGGTCTTTTCCAGCATCGATAAGAAAGGGTTACTGTAGTTCAAATTGTATCTCCAAGCACCAGTTCTTGCGATAATTAAAGATTGTACTGTTTACACATTCAAGCTCCTAAATTTGTAGCATGTGAGTGGCATTCGGGCCTTTCGACAGCCACACTAATCGCCAGGCATTCTCTCAGTGACTGTCAGAGAAGAGGGGGGAAAATTAAGCAGCTGCAATACGCCCGAAATGAGTTATTGTAATTACATTTAATTAGTTTAATTAGTTAATTATTTTGCTTACAGCTGTACAAGAGACTGCAAACATTTGTTAATATCACATGCCCTTTAACAGTATGGGGTGATTCCACAGTCGCACTAAATCATGAACGCATATGTAGGAAGATTTACAAACGTGCATAGTCTGTCTCAGCTTCTCAGGATGCGCATATTTAGTAACACATTTGGCACAATTTAGAAAAATAAGAAGCACCTCATAAAACACAGAGACCTGGGAACAAAATTACCACCAAAAAAATCAAATACAGTAACAAGGAGAGAAGGAACTCTCTCAATGACACAGGGTCTAGTTAGGGAACTCCAGTTATCAATGAAATAATTATGGCACATTTTTGAAAGTAGTGCTTCCCAGCCAGTTCCACACATGATGGTAGTTCAATTATTTAAGATTGCACCTAGAATTGCTACCAAATGTACCATGAGAAAAATGGCAATAGTCTCTGTCCCTGTGTCTCTCTCATCCGGGTTTCTGCCTCCAGTTTTCCCTCCCCCTTCCCCATTTCCTTCTTCCCGACATGCCCTTTCACCCAGACAGCCGCTGTCCTGTAATTGTGAACAAATATTGGTGTCTTATAAAATAATGAATTCCCCCAAGTGAAAACTCATCATAAGGACATGAATGCACAGGAAAACTTTACTTTTTTTTCAGGGGGAATAATCCATACCTTTTTTTATGACAGACTGGTCCAATAGATTCATGCCGCTGTTATTGGCATCTTCAACTGACTGTGAATATAAAAACATCACTATTCAAATTGACTGGATATTAAAGAATTGCACACATAAATCATGTCATTCCAAACTGGAGGTTCTGTTATTTCCATTTATATTAATTCACAAAGGGAGGTTTTACTATTATCATTATTACCTCCAAATCGACACAGAGATGAAATTCACCCAAATTATAAATTCTTCCAATGGAAGGAGAGGAAAAAGGAAACTGTGAGAGACATCTGGGATGCACGATTGGTTTAGTTATTATATTAAACACAGATATTACATAGACATATAAACTTTTATATTATTTGCTTTCATGAATTGCGAAAATTTGGCAACAGCTGAAAGAATTGCACCAATACTAGTAAGAGCAATTTCAGTTTTCTATTCTGTCCCAGTGCATCTTAACCCCAGAGTCATTTTACAAATGCATAATAGTTTACATTGTGGGATTTTAATTAAAGTCTGAGTAATTTGGAATGGAATGCAAACGTAACCCATAGAAACACGTCTGCAAAGCCAGGACTGCACACCCACGGCAGTCCATACACGTCCCTGTGCGCTGTGAACTTCCTGTTGTACAACAGTCCCTGGGAGGAACCTGCACAATTTGCTCCCCCTCCCAACCCTGCTGCTGCTGCTGCTGCTTCCCAGCAAGGAGCACACCTGTTAGGAAGGCTGTGACTACAGACACACAGACACACACAGAGGCCCGGATGTTCCCAGTCAGAACCTAGGTAGTGATGGCACAGAGCATTCATCTCCTGTGCCACAGTTTCATCTCTGAGAAGGAAAGTTTCCACCCTGGGTGTTGGCAGCACTTCTGAGGGGAAATAGCTGTTGGAATGAGTTTCTAACTGTTAGGGTGCACGAGAACAGGGTTCTGGCTGTGCATCCCAGGGCCTCCCAAAGCAGTGGATTCCCTCCCCTACTCGCCAATGAAAATAAATGCTGGGTCTTTCTGAAATGTACAGCTGCTTTCCTTGATCTACAGAAACCTAAGTTTAGACCAATTTGTCACCCACTTTACAAAGAAGTAAAAAGCAAAGGGCTTGAGAGGTGGTGTTTTCACAGCACCTCCCACCCACTCATGGCTGCATCCCCAGACAGGGAGTGTGTTCATCACAAGGAAGAGACTCTGTACCCCAAACAAGCAGCACATTAGGAACTAAACGATCTAATCATGGAGAGGGCATGTTAATTTGTTTCTTTTCGTTAATAGTCACTCTTTTGTTCTCAGAAAGGTGAAGAAAATTGTTATTCTCAATAAGAACCGTTTTCCATGTTGCAACATGCTACGTACATCTTAAGAAACACTGAAAACCTTTTTAAAAATACTTCTTGGAACTTGTTCGAAACTCCTCAGGAGACCCCACCACGCACACGCGCGCACACACAGGATTCACGCCTTTCTGTGCTCACGTGTCTACAGTGCCAACTTGTCCACACAGTACAGAAATATTCGCCTGTGTCTGTGGGCGAGCCAACCCGCGACCTCACCGGCGAGGACCAGTGCTCCCCCACACCTCACCCTCACGTCTGTACGTAAATATGTATATATGCCTCATCAGCGACGTGGGGTAGTTGTGGTAGTTAATGAGAAGGCTCTTGTCTGATTTTCTATCTAATTACGGCCGCCTGCTGGGTTTTTGTACAGGATATTCACGCAGCATGCTGGCGCTTAATCGTCACAGGGAGGATCGTAAAGATTTAATTAGGACTGCATGCGGAAGCGCAGAAAAACAACTCAGACTCGTAATTACTAGACTTCTTTAGTTAAAAGTGATACCAGGGGTTGCTTTAAGACACTAGGGTGTGTTTGAGTGTGTGTGTGTGTGTGTGTGTGTGTGTGTATGAGAGAGAGAGAGAGAGAGAGAGAGAGAGAGAGAGAGAGAGATTGAGCGAGCGCCCGTGCGCGCGCGCACATACAAGCCCGCTGGGGGGTTTGACTTAACATTCTTATATGTTTATACTCATGGGTGGTAGAGGTGATGAGAGGTTAGAGAGCAAAGACTGGAAGAAGAAAAGAGGTGTTCATGGCAACTAAACCAACTCTAAACTAGGTGTCATCTCACTCTTTTTTTCTCACGCTGTTTTTGAGTTCCTAACACACTGTCCCTTCCCCACCCCCACCCCCACCCCACACACAATGGGTGAAATGTAGCATACCCAGATTCCAAACAGCGATTTGCCAGTTTAATAGCCCCTGTGAGTAAATTGAAATAGAAATTGACAGGGTTTTATAGTTTCATTTAAAAAATATTAGAAGCATTTGGTTAATTAGCTCTCCTCTTCTCTCACGGGTCGGGTGGTGGCTGAGTGTGTGTGTGTGTGTCTGTCTGTCTGTCTGGGTCACATAGCTCCCCCCAACGCTCTGCCAGGTGAGTACCCTCCTTGTGAGGTCCACCGGCCCGTGAGCGCCCTTAGGATCTGTTTGGTCCGCAGCTGGGGTCGGGTAGGAGGGGACCTGGAACACACACTAGGCCCTTGAGATCCAACAAGTGACTGAGGTCCAGGTTCAGGCATTCTCTGGTCCCTTTTAAAGACCCAGAGCAGCCAACCCATTCCGTAGCTGCAGGAAATGCTGAAACTCCCGTTGGTGTAACTTTAGCCCCTGCGCTACAGATCCCGAAGTTGGAAGTAGAACCTCGGGATTTTGGGGTCTGGTCCTAGGTACGTCTCCTCCCCTTTCTTTGTCACCTGCCTTGTGTCAAGTCAAGCACGCCTCGGCCTCAGGATGCCTGTCATCTTGGCGAGAACTGAGCTCGTCCTTGTCTGGGACAGGGATGGGGTGTATCCCATGACCCCTTGCACTGGGGGTCGCCCAGAGTCCCCATACCCCCCCCTCCCGCCAGACTGCCGGCTGGGATGCTTCTGGGGAAGGAACTGGACAAAGGTGAGGTGGGATGGGGAGTATGTGAGGGCCGGGGCCTGCACCTTCATTCCACCTCTGCCTTCTGGGTTCCCAACCGCAACAAGGACGCTTGACAAGGGTGTTCTCCCAAATGCACACTGATCTGGCCCTGTTTTTCTCTTGCCCTTTGCATTTGGCCAGACACTCAAAACTCCTCACAATTCTATCTTAAAAAAAAAAATCTAAAACCAAATAAATCTGGTCCCTCTTTGGAGAGATTTCCTAGGTTCAGTCACCTGAGCCACTTGGCCTGCAGGATGGGGGTGACACAACCAGTGTTAGCATTGCCGACAGCAGTGGTGATGAGCTGATCCACTTTCATTATCCAGCACTTTGAACAGTACTCAGAAAGGTTAATTTAAAAACTTTCCCCCCAGACACATATTACCCCAATGCATTAAAAAAAACGCAACTATTAAATATTTTCTTTCTCATATGATATTCTGAAATGAGCAATATCTCCAGACAGGAAAAGTCCAGCCCAGTCAAATAAACAAAACTATCATTCTTATTACTATGGGTAAATTCAGCCACAGATCAGATGATGCCGTCATTTTTGGAAATAATAACTGAATTTCCTTTAAAACAATAAACCATCATAGACCACGCACAGGCAGCATTTGATGCTGCTACCACATTTTTACTGTTCAAAATACATTTTTTCCCCATCAAGGTAAAGAAGAAAGAGTTGTACACCTTCTTCCCTTTCCCACTTCATTTTCCTTCACTTCAGAGGTTATGTCTAAAATGATACATAATATATATACAGCTATACCAATGAGACTGAAGTGTCAGTTAAATACCTTCCAACCATATTTATCTTTTCTGGAGACTATTTAAACTAAGGAGCAAAAGGAGACCTGCTCAGAATCACCCAGACATTTTTTAGAAATCATTTCTTTGATGTTTTATTGTTTAGTTTAACCAAGTATTCTCAATCAAATCAGGCTCCATTGTGTAGACTGCAGATGGGATAGTGGGTGGGTAGGGGGAGTGTTTTGAGCCTTTTGTTTTAAGAAATAAACACGTGATGCCTCTTCAGTCGGGATGGTGGCATTGGGGAGAGAGAGTACAGTATTAAAGGAGGGGGAGAACTGAAAAGGGATGTGGAGAATATTGCTCCACAGTCATTTAATGGACCAAAAAGGTGAAAAGGATCTCTAAAATGGTATCTGCCCTCATGGACTCCCAAACAGCCTTATGGCTTGCTAGGTCTCTGCCCACAAATATTCCATTTCTCAGGTGATGAGTCTGGAACTCAATTATCTTGGAAAAGGGCTCTCTGCAGCTTATGGGACATTCAAAGTAATACCTGGCTTGCACAAACATAGCGGCATGTTTTTCTTCCAGTGTGCACTGTCATGCTTAACCAAGTCTTTGCAAATCCAGCAGGAACCTCTGGAGCCTACAGAGGACACTGTGCCTCCATGCTGCAGCCCCAACCCTTAGGCCTCTGGGTCTTCACCTGCCATGTCATCCTGCCAGGCCCACTAAGGGACGTGAATGAAGGGGATGCATTGGGGAGGGTAGCCAGCTTGTGCACACAAAGCGCCAAGAGAATAGAAGGAGTGAGTAGCTAAGGCAAGACAAAAACACCTAGCCTTGATTCTACTGATCTTAAATGATCCAACTACACATACATTTTTCTCTTTCATGGTTTCATTTCTCGTGGTTCTACCGCTTATAATTGCACCCCCAGAAACCTCCACTTAAAGCCATACACGTACACACATAAACGGTTATATATGTCGTGTCCAGCCGGCCCTGTCCTACACACAGAAGCTCCCTCCCTCAAAGGAGACAACTGCCCCACCCACACGGTTCCCCCCTCCCGCAGCATTCGTTATTTATTATTTATTTATTTATTTATTTATTTATTATTTATAATATTTTTCGTTTGTTTGTTTGTTTATGGTTACCTGGACGTCTTCCATTCCGGGATGTCCGAGGCCGTGCAGCGAGAGGCTGTCACCCATGCCCGCGTCCAGGCCGTGATGCGCCGAATGCAGCAGCACGTCGGGCCGGCGGACCGAGTGGTAGTCCCTCCGGGGGTCGAGGCCCGAGAGCTGGGGCAAGGCGGCCCGAGGCTGGGGCAGGAGAGAGCCGGCTTCGGAACCCACTTCTTGCCGCTGCCGTTGCCCCCAAGGGTGCTGCTGGGGCTGGTGCAGTGGGTTCAGGGAGTAGGGGTCGTTGACATGGGAGTAGGGGTCCTGGCTCTGGTGGTAGGGGAGCGGCTGGTAGGGGGGCGGGAAGTAGGGCGGCTGGAAGTCTGACGACGGAGTGTGGGACAGCGGCGGGGCGCTCGAGTAAGGTCCTTGGGACACCGAGCCCAGCTGGGACAGCCGCGAGCTGTGGCTCGGGACGCCATCGTGCCGGTCCTGGGAGCAGAGCGAGGGAGAGCGAGAGAGAGGGAGAGAGAGAGAGCGAGAGAGAGAAGGGGGAGAAAAAAAAAATACAAGAGACAAATGGAGAAGCCTGGCTTCCGTTTGTTCTTCCCGGGACAAGGGAAGCAAGAATCTGAAACTTATACTGCCAAGTTAACTCAGAGGGCACAGGCTTTCAGCAATTCCACACGCAAGGCTTTGAGGGGAAAATCACCCACTTAACCAACATCCGAGCCTTCAGTTGGGAGTGCAAAGCCAGCAAAAGGAGTGAGGGTACAATAACTGCGTTGGAGGGATATTCTAAATTCTTTATTTAAAAATATAGGAAAAGGAGTCTTACATATAGTATTTGCTCTCCTGGGTATTTGCAACTATTTTTTTTGGTAACTCTTCCAGAGGGCCAAAGCATAACAAATAAAACTTCATACTATTTGCTATGCTGCTCCTCCAGTTCAAAACCAACTTCTGCCTTGACTGGCAACCCAGCCCCTGCCCAGGGGCTCCCCACACAGCCTGATAATTCCAAGAGCTCTGAGGAGTCTGCTGATCTGAGTTCCTAGTCACCACTCCCTCCCCAAGAGGAATTAATTTAAATAGTGTTTGATTGAAATGGATCTCATTGGAAATCATATCCTGAGCCCCTGTTAAATTGAGTTGTGGTTCGCAGGAGTTATTTCTAAGGTTGCTTTTCTGTATCTAATGCTATTCTACTCCAGGGTGTGAAAATGAAGGGCCTGGGGTTGGAAGGGATAGAAAAAAAAAAAGGGGGCCCAAACAACTTATTGTTGGTCCTATCTGGAGTGGTAAACTCAGCTGAAGAAGGAGGCATGTGTGAGAGGGGTGTTTAAGTTTCTCCCTCTCCTCTGTGGAAATGCCAGGTAAAGTCCCCATGGTTCTTTTTGGAGAAATATTCACCTAAATTTCCAAACTGCGATGGCAAATAAAAAGTTTTTCTGTTCGGCCTCCCCCCTCCCGAGCTGACTCTTGGAGCTCAGACAGAGAACACACAATGCAGAGAGAAGCAGCTGCAGCCTCGTCCAATTATGGTGCTAAATTACCAAGCCAAAGGCGCTCAAAGGAAGACAGAGACAGAGAGAGTGAGACACGCACACAGAGACGGAGAGACAGAGAGACAGTGAGAGGAGGGAGCATGCAATTCTGGTACAACGTGAATCCAAACTCACCATGGATGAATAGGTGTGGACTAACATCTGGAAAAAAAAGCCTGGTTACTGCTCAAAATCAAACAATGATTAAAAAAAAATCAAGGAGTCCAGCAGAGAAATGAGCTGGACACAGGAGCCGAGCTTGAGGTGTTTCCAGGACAAGCCATCAAAAAAAAAAAAAAACAACCCCCCCCCACCCCCAAACAAGATAGGCGCTGCCTGTCACAAACAGAGCCGTTCCTCGGTCTCTTGCTGTCTTTTTGGGCCTTTTTTCTTCTGCCGGTCCTAGGGGCTCCAGATACAGTCCTCTTCCACCCGAAGCTGGGCTCAGACTGCTCGGGCGCCCCTTCCTCCCTCTGCTTGCCTACACCGCCTCATAATAATTGATATTCATGACTATTAATATTACACGAGTACTTTAAAGGGAGAATGGAGGACAAATGGAGCGTGAAGCAGCAGCGAGCGCAGAGCTCCCCTACTATTGTAAATGACGTTCATTCAGTGGAGAATTACTAGATGTAATCAGACGAGGGGGCTGGCAAAGGCAGACTGGGGAAAAAGTTTAGCAGGAAAGAGGCAGAACTTCAATTAACTGAGCCGGGGACACGCATACAGCAGCCTGTGCTCCCTTGGACAAGGCAGTGAGGGAGAGCATCGCTGGGGGCTTGTACGGAAAGTAGGTGTCCTTGTTCCTGGAGAGGGGCTTTCCTAATGGGAAGAATTAATCGCCCTGGGTGCTTTGTGTGCAGATTAAAACACAAAATAAAAAGGCGTTGCCTCGTCATTTGGAGGCGAGAGAATTAAACCGGTGGGCCTGGTTGTTTACAGTGATGTTGGAAGACCTTCACTGAATATTGGAGATTATGCTTTATTCGTTAAAGGACATAGACAAGTGGGGTCTTTTCATCCCTTACGCAGCCTTCCCCTCTTTAATGCGCAGGGTCTGTGATTTTTCTTTTTTACCGCAATTTAAAATATATGCCATCAATCCTCAAGTACACCTAAACTTATCCTTTCCAGGCAAAGCCAGGGGCAACAGAAAACCTTTTCGGATGTTTCAGGAACCCGTTCAACTGGCTTGACTGCCATTTCTGTTAAAGTTCAACCTTCCTCCCGACTTAAATAGGCTCCTTCTACCAGGCTGCGGGTTCGCCTATATTTTTGAGCAGGAAATTTAGGCAGCTAGGAATACCTGCACTATTCCGTCTCTGTTTCTCTGCCTCTCTCCTCTCTCCCTCCCACTTTATTCTCTTCCCCTCTTCCACTCCACCCCTTCCTCTTCCTCCCTCCCTTCTTTTTTCTCTCCCTCCCTCGTCTCTCATTCAGCCAATTTACTTTTCTTAATCCAAGAACGCATTATATATAGCCTGCTTACTTTTTAGAACCCACTGAAATCCCTCCACGTGTACACCCGGAGTTATTTACACTGTGGCCCTATCCCGTCCAGTGTCATGCCTACTTCGGCCGCTCACATTCTTTAGGGTAGTTCTAGCGCCTTCCACTTTACCATCATCCTGCCTGTTAAAGAAAGAAAGGAGGCCGAATCGAAACAAACCCCACAAGGCGGAGTCGCGGCTCTCGGTTACAGTCAATACACAACCACAAAGAGGAAAGGAAAACCCCAATCAACTTTTGCAGAAAGACAAATCTCAATCTCTCTCTCTCTCTCTCTCTCTCTCTCTCTCTCTCTCACACACACACACACACACACACACACACACGCACACACACCCCACTCCCCCATCCCCCTAAAAATTAGGATTCAGGGCTGGCTAAAGCTGGGGGGCACTGGGCGCCGGCGCTGCCTGCGGGATGCAGCGGGCGAGCCCATCTGTCCGGTAGGACTGGGCTAGCGGCATCGGTTGGAGCTCGCAGGCGCTTCTGTGCGCGGCTGGTTCCTAGTATATGCAGGGCGGCTCGGGGCCGAGCTTTCCGGAGTCTTTCCGGCGCGGCAGGGTAGCGTTTCCCCCACTGGCTGGGGAGCCTCCGTGTGCCCCACCGCGAGCGCTTCGTCCGACCCAGCGCTGCCCACGCTTGCCGCTCGGGACTTTGTTTCCCTTCCTCTCTCCTCTCCCCAACTTTTCCTCTTTGCAATCTCCCCTGCCCGCTCTCCAGCTCCGACCTTCCCCTTCCCTAAATCCTCTTCGCCTGTCTTTTCCACTTTCTCCAAGCTTTTCTTTCTTCCCTCCCTCGACGTCTCCTCGGAGCCTTCGCTTTCCCCCCTTCCCCTTGAACCCAAGTCGGGGACTCCGAGAGCGAGGGTCCGCGGGGCCGCCGCCGGCCGTCCCTCTCCGTCCCGCCGAGCACCCCGCGCCCCGCCCGGCCGCCCGTCTGGCCCGCGAGCAGCCTGGCCGCCTCTCCACTCCGCGCGGGCGAGCAAGAGGGCACAGCGGGCGCGGCCGGGCCCCGCCAGCTGCAGGCGCCCGGAGCTGCGGGCAACTTCTCCAGTCCGAGGGAGACTTGCGCTAGAGCCTCGGCCCGTAGAGAACCGTGCGCACTGAACACTGGCAGAACATTTCGCTAAAAATGCCCAAACATGGAAGGGGAGGGGGGGCGGTTTGGGCGCACTGACCCTCAAAAAAGCAAAATGCAAGAAATGAGAAAATCGAAGAAAACTTGTCTGCTACGGCTCCTTGGTTTGTGCTCTGTCGACTTCCATCTATCCATCTATCTACCTCCTTCTTTCTAATTTACCAACTCTGCTTGGATCCGTTTGTTATCGATTTTAGAAATTTTACTGAAAACAAAAAATGTAAAGCCCGAGTCTGTTACGAATGAGGCTTGAAACCCTAATTCTCTCCCACACTCAAAACGAGCGGAGCCTCTGCCTTTTATAGCAGTCTGTTTTCTCTGCTCACATTCAGTAGCACCGCACTGCCCATAAGACTCTAACGGGGGGAGGGGGGGCGAGGAAGAGAGAAAGAAAATAAAAGAAAAAGAGAAATCTTCTAAGTTCAAGTAGTCAGATTTCAACCTTCAAGTCCTTTTTCAGAATAGCGAAGTCTCCCCAAGCCAGCTTTGCTAAAAGTTAAGAGAAAGCTGAGAACACCGACCGGACATCTACGAGTAAATAGCTTTTAAAAATATATATATATATAGATCAGTTGGGGTGTTAAGAAGCTCAAATTCTCTGTCTGCAAAGCTCTAAGATGCATCTTGGGGTGTCGGCTCACCTCATAGATATCTTCGTACTTGACATTCTCCACGAGCTTCCAGAGCATGATGGCAGCCTGGTCTCTAGGAGGTGAGTGCATTCATGTGAGGAGCAGATGTCTGGCTTCTCAGGACTCCGCTGTCTGTAATGATCCATCTATAATTGGAAATGGGGGATACACACCAAATCCGACGCTCCTCTCCCATCGCAACTTATATCTGTTGTCTCAAACAATAGGCTGGAGAAGTTAAGCCTCAGCAGAGAGGAAAACATTATTACACACACAGGAGTTAGCTGCAACCCACAGACATATATATTATAAAAAATCATAAACACGTATTTACACCCAGACACCCACATTTAGTTATATAAGCACCCCTGGGTCACTCAGAGCCTACAGACGCTAAACATGCATTTAAAGGAGAGATGGTTGCTCAGTGTGATTAATAGAAATATACACTTTAAAAACCTCTATATTGAAAAGGATGAATCATTGTAGCCACTAACAAAAGTCTTTAAAATTCATAATGAGAAACCAGAGGGCCAACAGTCCCCCGTTTCTATCTCGATTTTAAAAGGGGGACTATTACTGACATTTTTCAACACAAAAACTCCTATTCCTGTTTGTTTCACAGGAGGGTATTTTGAAAGCTGGATTTGGAGATTTTAAGGGTGATCTCTCTGTGTTGATGGCTACACAACTTTTTTTTTTTAAAACTGTACCTCTGTCACTGTAGAACAAAAAGGCCAGCTCACCACAGTTACCATTTCTAATATTCCTGGTCATTTTGCCCAATACATTTGGTAACAAATACAGTATGAACACCTCATTCTGTACTGTTTGTCGTTTTAGGGGTTGTTTGTATGTATTTTCAACAGATTCCATGTGCCATTCTTTTCTTGGCTGGAATCTCCATTTTATGAAGTTTTGGTGGTTTTTTTCAGATTTTGGGAGCAACACACACACACACACACAATTACACAATGAGTGGATTTGGAGCCTTCTTTGCAAAGACACAGGACATTTTATATTTGCATCTGTTGTCCATAACTTTTTAGTGGTTTTAATCATGGAGAGCCAAGAAGTGGTCCCCTCAACCTTTCAAAGGTTTAAGCAGAATGTTCTTCAAAGACATAGTGAAAAATATTTTAGGATTGGTGGGGTTTTGTTTCTTTTGAGTGCATTTTTTTCGTAGTAAGGTGATTTGTATAGTTTTTTTTTTAAGGACAACATAAACAACAAGAAGAACAAAGTTAACCAAACCTCGAAAATGAGCGCCCTTAAAGGCAAAGGGTTTCCGAATTTCATCACAAAGTAAATATTCGCCTCATTCTTCTTTTTCTCACCCCCCTATTTTTCTACTCCCTTTTAGGGTGCGGAAGGATCCCCAAAGCCAGAAGGGAAGTCCCATGGAAGATCTCTGCCCCTGGGGCAGAAAATAAATGACAGGAGGGAATGAGGAGGGACCAGGGCAATTGGGGGTGGAAGTTACTAAACCTGATAAGAGTGAATCTGCAAACGGCGATTGTCTGTAAATCTCAGGACTGCTGGGCGCTGCCGAGTGCGAGCAGGGACCGACACTCTTGGAGGAGAGGCCACGGGACAACCGCGGTGGATATGGACTGGCTAAAAACCAAGGAGACGCTTCATATAATGCAGAATGAACAATTCGGCAGATTTCTAATTTTTTTTTTAACGATAGGTGAAATGAAAGGAACACAAAGAAGGTGCCTCAGAAAGAACTTCAGAAATAAACCCTATCTTCATTTCCAGTCCTAATTTTTGTATTTTGCCTTTCCCTTCATCCCTCCTTCCCTCCCTTCTTTATTCTCTCTATCCTGTTTCCCTCCCTCCCCCCCTTCCTTCCTTCCTTCCTTCCTTCCTTCCTTCCTTCCTCCCTCCTCTTTAAATATTGACACCTTAAATAATACAAAATCTACACAGATTTTTCCACGGAGAGCATGAGAAACATTTTCTTCTTTGCCCCCAGAGCTGGTTTGGACATGGGAAGGCGTTCTTTCTAATTTTATTGTGTGGTGGGACTTGAAACAGGTTTTACCCTCCCTTTCCACCCTTTCCAGAACTAAAATCAGTCTAAATCAATATTTTGCAAGATAAATACTACAGAGTTGAAAATTCAGATTTCTCTAGACACAAATTTATTAATGGAAATAATTGTCTTCTCCCTTTTCAAATCAATAACTCCATTATCTTTTTTATCTAAAGATCATCCCAACCCAAATAAAAAGCATCTGTAAAAATCTTAATGTTTTTTTCTAAGTGCTTGTAACAGATTTTCCATCTTTTTTTGGTATATCATTGATTAGTCTAAAATAAATAAACTAAAGCTTAAACAACCCCCCCCAGAGATACTTTTATATAGAAAACGATTTTAAAACTACATTGTTAGTATAACTATTTTATAGCTTTATATATGTATAATTTCAAACCTTGCATACGTAATTTTATTTTATACTAATGTTAGGTACTTTTAAAATTAGAAACGTTTTGAAATATTTGGTTAAAATATATATAAATTCTTTAGGAAAACTGAAAAAAAAACCAACTGGTTTTATTAAGAATCAAACATAAATTTAAAAATATATACAAATATATTTTTTATAAAGAGATAACCAAGGAAATACATAACGATAATTAAAACACGAGTCAATTTTTCAACATGGGCATTATTAAAAAAATCCTAGAAATTGTAAAGGAAATCTTTCCTAGCGAGCCTTCTCAGTCATTGAGCGGGCAACAGCGCCCTCTGTCGGGATTTTGTATAAGCAAATCATGCAAAGCCGCTCGATTTCTTTTTCAGCGAATTCTTTCGGTTCTTAAAAACCTGTCATTGCTAAGAGCATTTTAAAAGTTCAATTCCTATTAGATCTACTAATTTTAGAAATGATTGTTTCAGCATCTAAAAAGTTCAAACGCCTCAAAAAATGTACGAATGAAAGCTCAGTCTCCACTGAGAAAATGTTCCTAACTTGAGTCGGCTTTTCTTGCCCTTAACTTTCTGTTGCGTTTGGCTTTACCGTCCAATAACGTAAGGAGCCAATAAACACAAAAGCATAGCCAAAAACAAAATGGTTTCGAAGGGAAGTTAAGCGAGTAAAACATGCATTTTCACCATCATTTCGTTTTTCATTTCGTCTTGCCTGGTGCCCATATTTCTTTTTCAGGGGCACACACACACTTGCCTAGGTAGCAACGCACTGGAGACATCCCAGATAGTTATATTTGTATTTTCCCCTTTCACTTACATTTATTTCCGTTTATAACAGCAAAGAGGAGAGTTAATGATACCTCCTTTTTTCAGCCTCAGACAGAGGGAATATTTCCCAATACACGAAGCCACTAATGGAAAGCGAATGCACCTCGCATGGAGCCCTCTGCTGGCAGTTTTTGGAGTAGGTCTATAACTTAAAAAAAAAAAAAGTTACTGAAAAATATCACATCCAATCAAGGTCAACTATTAACACTGTCATGTCTCATTTCTTCTTTTTTCTAAATATCTAATTATAAGTTATCTAAATTTCTCAAACTTCCCCTATTCCTCACCTTGGCACCTAATGATTTAAGGCTTCATAAACTATCTTCCTTTGGGGCTGCCTAATGGACTCCCTTTTTTTATTTTACACATTACACGCCTGGGTCTCTCTTTTCCATTTTCCCCAAATACAAAAATAATAAAATGGGAAAAGACAAGACTTAGAATTAGGATCTTTGTGTCAAGTCAGGACCCTGACCTTTCTCATTCTGAGGGATGGGTCAGCTACTTAACAGCCTGACCTTCAGGGTACCTAGCTGTGAAGTGGGAATGATCGGGCCAATCCATTAAAATAACACTTGTGAAGGAATATATTTGACACTGTCTCTTTGTAAGACAATTTAATTTCTCAACATTGACTCCAGAATAGAACTGGGTGCCAGGAAAGGAGAGGCTTCCATCAGTCAGGAACTTGCTAGGTCTTCCCGCTATGTGCTCAGCACTTACCCCACAGCACCATGATGCCGTCTGTCTTCCTTCCATCCTTCCTTCTGAAATGAAGAAGATTTTTTACAGAGTTATCCTTGTCCTGGATTTACAAACAGGCAAAGGGAGAGAGAAAAGGAAGCACTGACTTTCTTTGACATACCCAGACAGCACCCCCACCTCTTCCTCATCAGAAGCATTATTGTCCCCTGAGTTGATTAACATGTCACTACAGCTGCACTTTTTATTGTGACCAGTCTGACTTGATTTTTTTTCTTTTTTCTTTTTAAAGATTTTATTGGGAAATTGGGGGAGGGGAACAGCGTTGGGAATTGGGGAAGGGGAACAGACAAGTTGTTGTCCTTTTGTTCTTCAGTCTAGTTGTGGAGGACGTTGCTTCACTGGCCCATGTTGGTATTATCATTGTGCTCTTCCCAGGTGAGGCAGATCGGTCACCGGCCACTGGACGGCCGCTCATGGTGGCTCACGCTGGCTGCCGGCCGCTCACGGTAGCTTACAGCAGCCCACTGCAGCCGCACTGTAGCCTATGCCATCGCCTGCGACTCATGGCAGCCCAGCTCCAGGCCGAGCTGTTGTTCACCATTTTAGCTGTAGAGGGCGCAGTGTCACTGGCCCTAATGTGGGATCCGAACTGGACCCTGCTGCTCAGAGCTGGCGTCCCAAGCCAGCTCTTAACCAACGTGCCACTCGGCGGGCCCATGAACTTGATTTTTTTTCTACCATGTTTCTATCTTCAAGCTTTCTCATGATCATATTTCTGGGGAATCTTGATGATGTATTTTTAACATCCATTTGGAAAATTCACTGTTCAGTGTGTGAAATTACAATTCAAGTACCTGCCCTGGGATTTATAGGACTTTGCTACCACATAGGTGTCAGTGATCTGAGTACGAGGAAACAAAATACGAGGGACTGATGTTTGCATAAGAGTGTTTTAAAAAATTAAATGAGGGTGAAGTTATCTCTAGATTGACTCTTCATGATTATACAGATTGAGGCAAACATTGCAAAGGAAACATTTCTTACTTTAACCACAGTATTTAATCAATTGTACATTTATGAATTTGTGAAGTGAAATTTAGTTGAAATCACCTGTGAGAATTAAACTTGTCATGACTGTGGAAGCTGTCTCTTGGATTTTTGAGGAATGGCAGTAATTTTATTACATATTTTAGATGTTTTGAAGTCCTTAGGCTTTTCTGTTTAATTGTGGGGGTATGAAGTTGCCAAGAGGTCAGTTTTCAAATTTCTGTCTTGTGGAGATAAAGAGGTTAAGAAATGG